AGTATGCAGCATATTGTTGGATCTTGATTCTTGATCCATTTGGCCAATCTGTGTCTCTTGACTGGTGAATCGAGACCATTAACATTAATGGTTAAAACTGATAATGTTTTCTTATCCGATCTTGATTCTTGATCCATTTGGCCAATCTGTGTCTCTTGACTGGTGAATCGAGACCATTAACATTAATGGTTAAAACTGATAATGTTTTCTTATCCTTGCCATGTTATTTTCCTGTTGTTGCCTTGGGTTTTGTTTTGTTTTGTTTGTTTTCCTTCCCTCTAATTGTTTGCCTTTCCTGGTAAATTCTTTCTGTTGGGGCTCATGAAGAGGCAGTCCTGATGATCTCTTTCTAGAATGTCTTTCAGAATATTTTGGAGTGCTGGTGGTCATAAATTTCTTCATATGTTCTTTGTCGTGGAAGTATCTTGTTTATCCATCAGTTTTGAACGATAGTTTTGCAGATATGTCAATCTGGATTGAAAGCTGTTTTGTTTTTTTCTTTTAGATCTTGGAGTACTTCGCTCCAAGCTCTCCTTGACTTGACAGTTTGTGCTGAGAAGTCAGCTGTGTTTCTTTCCTTTATAGGTGATTTCTTTTTTTAAAACAACTTTTAAGATTCTATTCTTGTGTTGAATTTCTGGAATCTTAACAATGATATGTCTGGATAGAGATTTTTTTTGATCATTGCTAATTGGAGTTCTATATGCCTCACTTGTTTGTGTGCCAAATTCTTTTTCTTTATGAGGAAAGTTTTTTGTCATGATGTCTGTGAACATGTTTCTAATGTCATTTGTGGTATCTCCTGCTTGTCATTTGACTCTAATTAATCTTAAGTTATTCTTGTTTGTCTTATCTAACAGTGCTAGATTGATTTCTCATGGTCCCTTGTTATTTTTAAGAAATCTTTCTTTTCCTGGTCGCTAGCACTTACTTTCTTTTTTCTTTTCTTTTTTTTTTTTTTTGCTATGAGGGATTGAACTCATGACCTCGAGTTTGTGGGGCAGGTGCTTATGCCACTGAGCTAAATCCCCGGCCTCAAATACTTTCAGTGGAGTTTTTATTCTCCTGGATACCTGCTTGAATCTGTTTTATGGATTCCGTTTGTTTCCTATGCTGCACTTCCATAATTTGCTTAAGCTCGTCCATTTTTTTGTTTGTTTGTTTGTGTCTGCTCTAACATCACTAAGCATGTTGCATATTTTGGTATTTTCTGTAGTTGAGAGATTATTTACAATTTCATTTTTTTCGAGATCCTCATTCAATTGCTTTCTTGTTATCTCCTGGTGGGGGGCTTTTGGATTGTCCCACCTCATTGCCCCTAGTGTTTGCCTTCCGTGAACTTGATGTCTGGGGTTGTATCTTGTTTAAGTATCTTCTCATTTCTTTCCTTTTTTTTTTGGTTTAGTTCCTGGGGTGATCTTGTAAGTTGCCTATGATGGGTTGCTTCATTGGTGGTGTTTAGGACACTTAGGTGATAATTTCTTCTCTGAGGTATTTTCCAGGTATAGCTGGATTTTGGGTTTTGAGTCTGTTGGAAGACGTTACCTCTTCAGTTTGTCAGAGATGAGAAGTTGTTGCTAGTTTGGCCTAGTTCCTGTCTCTTTGGCAGTATGCTACCATATTTTCTGTGATCCTTAGTTAATCTTGGTTATGGATTATCATCAGGGCCAACATAATTTGAACAATTATGTCCATTTTGGCTGTAGTGGTACCCAATAGCATCAAACACAGCCTAGAAAACAACAAATTGAGCTAACCTTTTAATTTGCAACTTTTAACTGTATGAACTAGATTTGTCATTATATAAGTAACAATGTAAAAGAAATCAGATACTTATATACAGTATGTAAGTCCATAATAAGCCAATCTTGTCTTTGAGATTAATATTTAAAATGGATTAAGGAGAAAATAAAAAAGTAGAAAAACAGAAAGAGATTACAAGTAAGGTTGGAGGACAAAGATGGGTCTGGACAACTTGGGAAAACTGGTACAGAAGACTGAAAGAAAAGAGGCGGAAGAGATAAAAGGTAGAACAAAATAGAACCATATGACAGAGATTAGGAATCATTCTCTCACTCATTAAAAAAAAGAGAAATAAAAAACTAACTGAATAAAATAAAACAATATAAACAAACAAGAGAAAAATCAACCAAACAAAATGAGTTCACTTCCAGGGTTCTCTCTGGATTCATTAATAGACAGGCTGTGGAGAGAGTCCCAAATCATGCCGCTGTATCCCAGCAAGCCAGCCATTCCTTCATGACCGAATATTAGGTAACCTTACCAGGCCTGCTCCAAGACTAGACTCTCTGGGCTCACTATAGTCCAAGTAGTTTTCAGGAGTCTGTGCTGCAGGAAGCAATTAGCTGTTGTGGTTCTGGGCTTATCTGGCCCGACTCCAAAATGGATCACTGTTTCCTGTGGGAGGACTGAGTCCTCTACACTCATTGCCAGCCAGTGTAGTTTTCCATGCCCACTGCTCCCCTCACTGCTGCTGCTTCTTGCAGAGACTCTGGGGTTGCCAGCCACCACTGTCAACATTATTGGGAGTCCCCAGATGCCGAAAGCTCTTCTTCCTGCAGTGAATCTGGCTCCATGTTAAAGGTGCCATCAGCTACACCTTTGTTGTTGAAATTTTTCTTTTTACTTTCTCTGTGGGCTTCAATTTACACTTCAGTTCTTCCAGGTCCAGGGGACCCACTTATTTCCCTTTTGTCTTACTCATGATGCTATATGACAGCATCTTGACGATGACTCTGAGAGAGGCTGTTTTCTCTGCTGCTTATGCTCTACCATCTTCCTGGAAGTTCCTGAAATACTGTTAATATTAGCCACTCAACATTATATGATAAAGGGTAATTTTGGCTTATTTTGGGGGAATGACTTGGATTTTTAAAATTTTTATAGAAGATTAATTTTATTTTGTTTTTGAAGATTAGTTTTAAAATAAGGAATTAGGAGTAAACATGCTTAAATTGGATGTTACCTGGTTTTATTGTTGAATTATTTTATATATTCTGGATCTAAGCTTCTGATCAAATTTGCAAACTTTTTTTCTCATTGTCTATTTTATTTTTTCCTTTCTTGGTAATGTTCTTTGTAGCACAAAACTGGTTTTTAAATTTTGATGGAATCCCATTTTTTTAATTTCTGCTTTTGCTTTGATGCTTTATCTGAGAAGCCATTGTCGAGTCCAAGGTCTCAAAGATTTATTCCCCTGTTTTCTCCTAAGAGTTTTATACAGGATAAGCATCTGTAATGTAATGACCCAACTTTTTTGGTCTTTTTTTGAGACAGGGTCTCACTATGTAGGTCAGGCTGGCCTTGAGCTCACTTTGTAGCCCAGGCTTGTTGCAAACCTCGTAATGATCCTTCTGCCTCAGTCTTCAGCATAACAATGCTGGGATTATAAACAATGCTGTACCATGCCAAGCATAATCTGAATTTTGGATTAACTTTATCCAGTAAAGAAATTCCAAAATCTGAAACAATTCTGGTTTCTAAAATTTAAAATAAGAAACTATATTTCAAAATATAGTTTAAGCTCTTAATGTTTTTAGATATTTGACCTTTTAAAGTTAGTTGTATATTGGAGTGAATTCAGAGTACAGCTTTATTCTAAATGTGCTTGCACCATTTGTTGAAAAGACTACTCTTTCTCAGTTGTTTTGGCACTCCTTTGAAAAATCAGTTGATAGTGTCTTTATTTCTGGACTCTCCATCCTCATTGACCATCTTTAAAGTTAGCAGTGTGTTCCCACTTTTTCGACATTTTTTCTGGCTATTTTGTGCCCCTAGAATTTACATATGAATCTGAGAACTAATTTGCCAGTTCCTGTAAAGAAGCCAGCTGAAATTTTGGTGAGGATTGCTTTGAGTCTGTAGATTAAAGGGGAAGCATTGCCATCCTAACAGTATCTTCTTCTAGTCAATGATGATGGGATATCTTTCTATTTATTTAGTTGTTTTTAATGTTACTTTCTTTATGATAGCATTCATTTTCTTCAGATATTACACAGCTAAAGAGCTCAAATTTTTGGACATAATCTTTGGTATCCTTTGTAGTCTTTCCTGATTGGAATGTGGCATTTTTATAATTTTTGCCATGTTGACTATTTATGTATCTTGTTATCTGAGACTTTGTTTTGAACCATTGGGTCTTTATGATTGTATATGTTTATCATGAAACTGTATAACATAATGACTGCACCTTAGTGTAGTCTACAGAAAATCAGAGACAGTCTGTTCTGGATTTGTTCCCCATCCATCTCCAGCACAGTCCTGTTGGCCCTGTGGGCACAGTTGGCTGCTTGGTGAAATGTCTCCATGTCTTTTAATCTCTCTAGTATTTTCCATCACTATTTCTGTGGTTTATATTGTAGATTTTAAAGCAACCAAATTCTCATTTGAAATATATTTAATCATCTATTCATTGAGCTTAAAATTTCAAGCTTTTTATTTTCCATTTTGAAAAGTCTCTTTGGTTCTTTTTATTACTTTTTTTTTCCTCTTTGGTTTTTTTGTCTCCCTATGTAGTTCAGATTGGCCTTGAACTCACTTTGTAGCCCAGGCTGGCATCAAATTCACAGCAATCCTCCTGCCTCAGCCTCCTGAGTGCTGGGATTACAGGTGTGCACTACCGCACCCAGCTTTTATTTTCTTACACATTCTTAGTTTAATATTTTACTCAGTATCTTAGTCTCAATTGTAGGGTCTACTCAGGAAATCTAGATTCTTGTACTGTCTGAATTAGATGTCTGGCATTGTGTTATTTACATAGTTGTCCTTATTGTATGTTTGTAATTTTGTTCTTTTTTATGTGTTAATTTCCTATGCATTTTGCCCATGCTTTATTTTTTAAAGGCTCTGTCATGCTTTGTGGTTTTACCCAGTTTATACAATCATTTTTGTAGTTTCTTGGTTTCCAAGATAATGATTTAAATAATACTGCTAGGTACCTGTATCTGTTAACCTCAACCTTGCTTTTTTTCTTCCTTTAGGTCGAATTGACATAAAACAGTTGATAGCAAAGAAGAGACAGCTGGCAGTAGAGGCAGAGGTAAGCAACTTCCTCTTTCGAAAATATAGATGTAGAGTTTTAGGAAATAGCTTTGTTTAGTAACTTTTTAAAATGTTAATGTTAAATTGTTTTAAAGATTATATTTACCTTTCTATTACTTTACATTATCTTGCTAGGGAACAAGAAAATAAGATCCCTGCCAACCTCTCATCCTGAGTAAGAACACACTTTGCCCCTTTCTCCTGTTTCATTCTTCACAGCCATGTGATGGTTTTTACTGACAAGTGAATTGTGTTAATGGCTGATAGAGTTGTATGTGTTGACGCTATATGAAAGATTTTATCGCAATTCATAGCAGATGGGTCTCCAGTAAAGGAGATATAGATTTTAAACAAGTCAGATCTCCAGTAAGATCTGACTCTACAAGTATATTTCTTATCAGAGAAATAGGAAATATATACATAATGTCATTTCAAGTCATAGTTCATCATACCTTTAAGAAATTCTGGAGGAAAAGAATGCCTTTGCATGGGGGTGATGAGGAGGGGGCAGCGTTTAAACCCAGGACCTTCACACTGAGCTACCTTCCCAGCATACTGAAATATATCAGCCCTTTTTATTATGAGACAAGATCTTCTAAAGATATAAAATTACGTGCCTCAACCTTCCAGAGTCTTGGGATTATAGATGTGTGCCAGCAAAGGATACTTGAAAAAAAAATACACTCTCTCTCTCTCTCTCTCTCTCTCTCTCTCTCTCTCTCTCTCTCTCTCTTAGATGTGCCCGAATGTAAATTGACTTCAAAGCCATGGCTGTTTCTCCTTTTTCCAATGAGATCATTTCCAAAATTGACCAAGCTGAATATATATATATACAGTGATATAGATGGAACAGACCTGCTTTAGTTATAAATTTAATTATGTATATTTGTGCATGCACATATGCTTTTACTTCAGTTATTTAAATTTAGGAAGTTTTAAAATGTTACATAAAAATGAATAAGATTATTTATATTCACTTTGATATCAGTCTTTGTTATTATCAGAGTTAGTTTTTCAGTTATCTTACAAGGCCAAGGGCTTTTATTATTTTCCCTTTCATCTAATTTGTTTGAAATATAGCACTTTTTGAGTCCACAAATGATGTCACTAGAAATATTATGAGAAACTATTTGCTTAACCTTAAGAGATTACTCATCTTGTACTTGTGATGTCTATAATACAAGCACATGATGTATTGCTTTATAAAGTATATTCAGAAGGTGTATTTGTGAGTTTAGACTCCTACTTAATCGGATATTAAACTTTATTCATTTCTTTTTCCTGATTATATTAGGCACCTGTGTGAGTATCCAAAATTACACTGACCAAGGTCATTTCTGGAGAATGTCTTCTCTGATTATTACTTTGTTATTCAATTATAACAGAGTGTTTAAAATTGTTCAGTAACTTCTTTCCATCTCCCAGTACTGGAGATTGAACCCAGGGCCTTCATACTAAGCTACATCCCCAAATCGATCGGTCTGTCTGTCTGTCTGTCTGTCTCTCTTTCACTGGGGATCAAACTCACAACTGCACCCATGCAAAGCAAGTGTTTATGCCGCTGAGTTATAGCCTCGCCCCAATTTTTTATTTTCACATAGTGTCTTCCTGAGTTGCCCAAGCTTGGCTCAAACTTGCAGTCCTCCTGCTTTAGCCTCCTAAGTGCTGAGATTACAGGTGTGCACCATCACTCCCGGCTGGCAGTTTCTATTTACCTGAGTGATTAATTTATAATTTTGGCTGAGAAACAAATATTAATGTACTAGTACACGATCTATTTTCAAGAGCTTGGTCTTAAACAATTTTTTAGTATATGTGCTGCCAAAGGGACCACTCAGTCTTACAGATTTAATGATCAACGTAAATACTTCTCATTTTTGTGGTTTACTAGTGTTTATGACCCATTATTCTTCATTCAGGCAGGACATCTCAGTTTGTTTCTATTCCCTTTTGCTTCTTCCTTTCCAGCAAGAACACAAAGTCTATTACACTCTATTTGTAAAGGAAAGTTTCAAATAGGTGATGAGTCTGTTCTATCACTGCTATATATTTTTATAATCTAGGGTCAGGGTTTGTACCCTGTGTAGGTGAGGGTTTATAGGCTCAGCTGCTGTGGGCGTGTGTGCTAATTATGGAGCCCAGGTGTTTGTGGCAATGAGAGAGCATTTATTAAAATTAATCATAGTGCCTATTTGGTCAGTAATTTCATCTGCAGAGGTGCCATGTGAGTCCTCTGTGGGGATTCTTTTTTTTTTTTAACTTGGTCCAGGGGTCGAACTCATGACCTTGTGCTTGCTAGGTAGGAATTTAGGCTACTGACCTAAATCCCCAGCCCTGTTTTTCTAATGAATCTTGTAAAAGCTTACAAACAGTCTTAGATTGGTGGGGAATTTCGATCTTCAAGGTTTAAAAAAAAAAAAAAAAAAAAAAAAAAAAAACTGGCTAGAGTGGCACAGGAAATTGATATTTGTAGAAGTTTCCATCTTAGTTACCATCAGCAACTTAGTGCAACTTATAAGTTATTGTGAAAAGTTATCTTTAAAAAAACAAGTACCAATTGTCAACTATATAGCCTAAAAAAAATGTAATTTGACATTGTTCTTGATTGCCTAATGCAAGTTGATGTCTTTAAGTCCAGGTCACAGTGAATTATGGGAAAAACTATCTTCCTTAATCATCAATAAAAACTCTGTAGGCAGTTTTAGTAGAGGAAAATGAAGTGAATAAGAGGAACATTTTTCCATATCTTTATGGAAATCCAAAGGGAAAAGGGATTATGAAATGGGAAGCAGAATGGGAGATGAGGAGGAGGAGACAGTGAGAGAACAGGAAAAGGAGAACTGTTTTATGAGTCTGAGTTAAAACTTTATGACAGGAGAGTTTTTGAGCTGGGTGTGGTGACACAAGGCTGCAATCCCACCATTCTGGGAGGCAGAGGCAAGCAGATTGCCACCAGTTCAGCCTCGCTAGCCTGGGCAATTTAGAGAGCATCTCAAAACACACACAAAAAACTTCTTATCTGCTTTATATATTAATGAATAAAAGTATTAAATTCCTTTAGTCAATTAGGAGGAAATGAATTGAAGCAAGGGAAAAGTAGATGAGGGAAAGGTGATCATCTGTGTAGCCAGCATTATCATGTATATTGGGCAAGTGTTAACAAAGGCTGTGGAATTGTACAAGACTTATTCCCTACTATTATGGGAGATACTGGCCTGAATAAAGGTATGGAGGTAGCAAGCTACACTGTGTCTTGAAAATAGCTCTTGATTCAGAGTACTTGTGTCCCTCTATTAGAACATAATGGAAAGAAAAAAAAATTGAGGCTAAATTGTAAAACATTTTTTCTTTATATGTTTGTTCGTGTATTTCTTTCTACCTGAGATTTTCTTCTAACTTCACACTTTCATTGTATAAAATAGTATAGTATAGCCTTCAAAGAAGTCCTACTGTTTGTATAGTTTTCTAATAAACATCCCTGCTTGAAATGATGATCTCCCTATTCTGTAATTCCAAGGCCTTGTGCATGTTAAACACGCAGTCTTATCACTGAGCTACATCATTGTTTATTAATTGGAATATTTCTGATGTCCAAGTTCAGTATAATTTGTGAAGATAGTTTGGAAACAATGAATCCAGACATGAAGCTATTATAATCTTAGTATTCTAAATTGAGTATATGGGCAGGTAAGAGAAAGGAATTTTATTTAGAATCCTTTTCTGAGCCAGTTTTTACTAGGTCCTTTATATACATATTACTCACTTAAACTATCTCAGTGTATAAAGAGGTTGTGTTTTTTGTTCATTTGTTTAGGGGTTTGAACCCAGGGTCTTTGTACTGAGATATATTCTTCCCATCTCCTTTTGTTTTTTAGTTTGACACAGGATTTGCTGAATCACTCACCCGATTGGAATTAATTTTGTCATCTTTCTTCCTCAGCTTCCCAGAGTGAGGGGATTACAAGGCATATGCCAACATTACTTACTTAGCTAAAAGAGATCTTTAAATGATTATGGTTTTTGTTACTGTTTTGCTTTATTAGTTGACATTTACTAATAAAAATTAATTTGAGGTGATAGGAATATATGTGAACATTGTTCAGAGCCATAAAATTGGCTTTTTTTTATATATACTAATTTCTTCTTTTTTCTTTCTTCTTCCTTTTGGTCTTTTTGAGACAAGGTCTTTCTTTGCAGTTCAGGCTGGCCTTGAGCTGACTTTGTAGCCTAGGCTGGTTTCAAACTCACACTGATCTTCCTGCCTCAGGTTCCCAAATGCTGGAATTATACGTGTGTGCCACCATGCTTGGTTAATTTGTTTTCCTTTCGTGGATATTCAAAAAAATAATTGGATTTATTTTAAAATAAATCCAAGTCAGGGGTATATATAGTCATTTGTAATTTGATGTCAGCCTCCACACGAATGGTCACATCTTCACTGGTTGTTTTTCCATTAATCTTTAAGGTTAGAGCAGTGGATAGCTGTCTTCAAGTTCCCTTTAGCATCAAAGATTTATTCCCCAATCATGTACTTAAAATGTATGTTCAGAATTCACTGTTCATTATTGTCAAGGGAATGGGCAATCTGTCAGTCTGACTGGGCATTACTTTCATCTCCACTGACTGTAGTTGTCAAGCAAAATGTAATATGTCTAGTTGAATTTCAGATAAACAATGAATTCTTTTAATTAAATGAGACATACTGAGACTTGAAAAGTTATTTATGTGAAATTCAGATTTAATTGAGCATCTTGTGTTTTTATTTGCTGTCTAGAAGCCTACAAAAATTCTCTGAAAATCTGTATTTGTGATTAGAGGAGCTCATATTAAGGAAAGATTTGAAAAAGGTTGTCAGTTACTGAACAAACTCTTAAATCTGAGGGAAGTGGAGTGAGGAAGATGACATTAATGGGACCATACAAAATTGTGTAACTCTTGAGTCACCATCACCTTTTGAAATTGCTAGCATTGTGTTGTAAGAAGATAAAAAGGATCTTA